TTTTTTAATCCTTTGAATTAGATGGGTTAGATGTAACTTTTTATTTCTGTACATGCTTTTCTAGTTAAGAAACAAGTTTTCCCAAAAGCTTAGAGTCTGGTTTTCACAGCTACCTTGGCTACAAGTACTGACTTAGTTACAGATTTTTTCCTCATATCTTCTGAACTGTACTTAGGAGGTGATCATTCATCAAATATTGAAGCCTGTACGATTTGAACACATTGAGCTAGGTAATATGGATACAATGGTGAGCAGAGCAGTCACTGTTCTCTCCTCCTAGGGCTTTTATCAGTTTATTACTGTGATACAAAAAGGAAAAAAAGTTTTTATGATTTTTTTTCTTAGCATATTTCTGATAGGTTTTTGAAAAACTTAAGTATTGATAAAGACATGTTCTTAGGTATACATGTTGAGAAATACAGTAGTTTCAAAGTTCAGGAAAAATTAACACAGACTCTTTAAGGTAAATCAGTTATTTACCTCCGATAGAAACTGCAGTTGCTGTAGTTGTGTATTAAATTTTTAATTTTTTTGGATAAGCAGTCTCCTAGCAGGTTGTGGTTAAAATGTAAGTATTGCATAATGAGTCTGATATTGTTTGTGACGTGTGGTTACAGTTCGTTTTATTCACATCATGTATGTTTTGTCTAGCACATCTCTCCATATATTGAAAAGTGATTGAGCATTGTTCTAAAATTAGAGAATAATAATTGATTCCAAGAATGTCAGTCTGAAGTCAGGTATAAAGGAATGTGTTCACCTTTGTTTCAAGTATAGTCAAGTTTCCTGCATGTGTGAATATATGTAACAATGAAATTCCTAAGAAAGTATGAACCAAAGAATTGAAACATACTTTTTTTTGTAGTCGCTTTGAATTACGGAATTTATAAGCAGGATCTTCCAAGCCTGGATGAGAAGCCTCGGATAGTGGTTTTTGTTGATATAGGACACGCAGCCTTTCAAGTGTCAGCCTGTGCTTTTAACAAAGGAAAATTGAAGGTAAAGCGATACATTGGAACTAAGTGACCAAAACATATTAAAACTGTCATATTTTTACTTTAAGCTACTGAGCCTTTTCACAGTGCTTGTTCTTCTTGGTAATAAGTGTTACTTTAGGTAAAGACTTTTAATGAGGAAC